ATAGAACTCCACCCCATGAGTACAACACACAGTTCCTATCAGGACCCTGAACTTCCCTCCCCTAAGGCCAGTAGTTGCTCTTCTGTCATTTTTGCTTGCATGTAAGCTGGTATGGGTCTGGTTTTGGTCTCTACCAGGGCAAGCTCAGGGATCAGGACACAGATGTTCAATACAGTTGTGCTGCCTGTCTGCTTTAAGGATGCTGCCTGGGTACCTGGTGGGTAGCCTAGACAAGAGGGTCAGTACCTGGTCTGAGGGTGCAATGATGTGCCAGGAACAGCTGATGCCTGGGGGGTAATCCGACTCAGGCCAATTGGGCGTGGTCAGGGTTCCCTGGGCCTTCTCCATCCGCCCCCCGCAAAACTGGTGCTCTGAGAAGGGGAGAGAGGGACCGGGTGGGGGGCGGTGGAGACCCTCTATCAGCTAGAGTAGAGAGCTCTAGACTGGGAGCTGGCAGGCAGCTAGGAAGTCTGGGTCTCGAGATGAGGGAACAAGAAAGGGTAACAGTAAAGGGGGCAGGTCAGCAAATGGCTGGGAAGACAGGGCTGGGGCGCCCAACAGACATCCCTTCTGGTCCCTCCCCACCCACCGCCACACCATGCCTCTTCCCCTGGGAGATCCCATCTCTCCATCCCGGCCTAGCAGAAGAATCCTCTTAAGCAGGCTAGAGAGCTCTCATGTTGGGAGGGTGACCTCCTCTCTGATGAGGTCTCTGCCTAAAACAGTCCAGAGATACTTGTGCTGCCGGGAGGGGGTGATGGGACCGCAATCGGGATCCCAGAGCTGGGTATAGGGGGCTCCAGAGGAGGCAATCCTAGCCCCCCAGCTTCAGGGTTTCCCCTTACTCCTGTCAGAGGAGCCCGATTGCGGAGGGGGGCGGGCAGTTACTCACCGTCCCAGTAACCCCAGGCCGCCCATTCCACCCGTGGGTCCATGACCCATTTCCGCCTCGCACCTGGGGGAGGCCCTGGAAGAGGGGTAGGTGGGATCGGGAGGGGGAGAGAAGACCAGGAGGAGGGACTGAAGGGGCAGTTAGTGAGAAGAAAGGGAGTAAAGAGGGCCCTAACTCTTGGGAATAATCTGGGGAGGGTCGAGGTTAGGGCAGGGGTGGGGACCTGAACCGGGGTGGGGCGAGGAGAGGAGGAAGAGGAGGCAAGGAGGATGCTCACCAGTGCCTGAGGTGGCTCGACCGCTGTACCAGAGCAGGAAGCCTCGTCCCCCAGTGCCCTCGTCCGTTGTCATCCTTAAAGTCACCTGGTTGCCAGGGGCGACTACAGGCGCAGGCCTGAAGGTGCCACAGAAGCGTCCAAGTCGCTGGCCCGAGGTCCCAGACCCAGCAAAGACCTCTAGAGCGTCATAGCGGCAGGAAGGGTGGAGCTCCATATCAAAGACTCGGAAGGACAGGGACACAGTCTGGCCCTCAGGCACCTGATAAAAGGGGAATAGGGAACCCACAAAATCAGGCCCCAAACAACCCTAACAGTGGGCATAACTCCCTTGCCCAAGTACTTCCTAGAGAAATAGCCATAACTGGAAAGGCCCCTGGCCAGTGCAACACAGAGGGTCTAGGCTCTACTCCCGGCTTGTGGTCTCTGGAGGGAGAGAACAGGGGCAAATTAGAGGTAGAGACTCAACATTTGTTACCATTAAAAAAAAGAAAGGAAGAAAAGAAAAAAAAAAGGAAGACTTAAACTAGGATTTATGGTGCTGAATCAGGATTGCCTCAGAGTTCAAGCAAGGCCAGCTTAAAATACACATCGAGACCCTGCTTCGAAAAACAAAGAATTGAGGCTCAGCACCCTGAGAGCATGTCTGTGATCCCAGCTCTTTTGAAAAGGAAGTCGGAGGATCAAAAATGCAAGGCCCATAATTTACATAGATCCTGTCTCAGAAATAAAAGGTGAAGGGGCTTGGGGAGACGGCTCAGTGGGTAACAGTGCTTGCTCAAGTTCAAATCCCCAGAGCCCATATAAGAGGCCACATTTAAAAGTCTCCACACGGGGCTGGAGAGATGGCTCAGCAGTTAAGAGCACTGCTCTTCCAGGGGTCCTGAGTTCAATTCCCAGCAACCACATGGAGACTCACGACCATCTGTAATGAGATCTGATGCCCTCTTCTGGCCTGCAGGCATACATTCAGACAGAACACTGTATACATAATAAATAAATAAATCTTTAAAAGTCTCCACACATGCTTGTAACCCTAGCAGAGACAGGAGGGTCACTGGGGTTTGCTGACCTCTAGATTTAGAGACTTTGTCTCAAGGAAATAGGGTGGAGAGTGGTAGAACTCTGAAACACCCAACCTCTACACACGCAATGCATGAGTGTACACACACACACACACACACGCACACACACACACGCACACGCACGCACGCACGCACGCGCGCGCACGCGCTCGGGTGTAAGTCAGGATTTGTCAGAGCATGTTACTGTGGAGCCTGACACCCTTGTGACCAATGGGGAGAAGAGGGTTTCCCAGACTCAGGTGATGGTAGAGAGGGTACCCTGAGCTGTCAGGGTTTTTCCAGTGAGACTGATGAAAGGCAATGAGGGCCAGAGGTGGCCTTCTTTCTCACCGTGATTGTCCAGATGCACTTCTTATTTGGGGGGTAGAGGTTGGGGAAACCCTCACTTGCCACGTAACCCGACTCTCCCGTCACGTCCCCTCCACACAGGAACACGGGTCTGGAGGACAGAAGGGGTGTCAGGCAGAGCCACTGGAGAGAGGGTCATCAGAATGTGAAACCCCAGGCAATAGAGGAGGATGTGCTGGAAAAGCCTCAGCCTGCGAGGCAGGAACTCCCATCCAAGGACCAGGGGAAGTGGGGCTAGGCAACGGGACCATCTCTCCAGCCCCTAGAGGCTCCACCCCCATGGCCGACAGGAATTCCCGGAATCCTCCTCAGTCCCCTAGCTTTCTCTACCCCCCTCCTTGCCCTGCCAGGCAGTCAAGGACAGGAGCCGCCTAACTACTTCCAGATGTGACAAGCCATGAGGCCATGAGGGGGAAGGGGCAAGAGAGATGCAGGGAGCAACAGTGGACATACACAGTTAGGGGCTCCCACCTTTTCCCTGCTCCGGGTTCCAGCTATAAGGACCATTATCTGACTTTCTGCTTGCTGCCCTTCCCCCAATCTCATTTCCTGAATGTCAGTCAAAAGACAAGTTCAAGGTTTTGGAAAGGCATGGCTCTGGGTGGAAAGGGAGATTTAGGGCAGAAGAACAGTCATAAAGGAGCGGAAACAGTGGTAGTCTGCAGACCAGCATGGCTTTGCAGCAGACAGGGAGAACAAGAGTCTTAGGAGGAAGATGGTCAATGTGAAGGGGTTGCTAGCAGGAGAGAGCTCGCAAGACCCACAGGCACAGCCCTCCCAGGAGCCACAAGCTCTTTGAAGCTCCCTCTGGAAGCCATCTGAAAGACATGAGACCTACCTGGTGTAGTTGGGGGTCTGGCCTCGGGCAAGAGGCAGTACCCAGGCCACAAGGAATGGCCCCAGGAGGGAGGTTAGGACAGCAGGCAGCATTGTGTGGGGGGAAAGTGCTGGAAGCAGCAGCTGAGTTTAGCAGCAGCAGCAGCAGCAGCAGCAGCAGCAGCAGCAGCAGCAGGATAATCAGTACCAGATGAGGCAGCCCTGGGTGTGTGGGCGTGGGGACTGGCCAACTGGGCGGGCAGCAGGGGAGGCGGGACAGGGAGACAGTTGGGACAGTGGTGAGTCCCTGCAGGGGCCTCTCTAGGTCTTGGACATACATTGACTGACTAAAGGATGCTGGGAGAAACAAGGGGCAGGGAGAACATCATCTCTGTCAGATGACGTCATCTGCAACCCTGTCCTGATTGCAGTCTGGTCTCTCCTGGAGACTTCTGGGAGCAGACTGGACCTCTTCACCTGTTGCTTTCTCAGCATCAAGAGAACGTCCTTCTTGAGTCATTGGCCATCCACTGTCCCACTGCACATTTCTGGATAGTTTCGTTGGTACTTAAGACAGTCTTGCCATGAAGTCCTGGCTAGCCGGAACTTTTGATCCTCCTGCCTCAGCTTCCCAAGTGCTGGGATTCCAGGCCTGCACCCCTTACCGGGAATCTTCTGCACAGCTTATGGCTTTCCCTTTAACACTGGACCAGATCAGGTGGAGGCAGGAACATCCTGACCCCTTATTTTCTCTTCCAACTATTTTAAGGTGCTGGAGAAGGGCTAAGGGAAACGTGGACTATCCCTTTCCCTGGGCGAAGAGGGGACAGAGCAGAAGGTAAGGGAACAGACAGGAGAGGCTGGGCTTAGAAAACAACAGACAGAGAACAGGGTGCTGAGTTCAGAGGAGTCAGGGCTAGGGGTAAGGTACTTCCAGAAGTAGAGGTAAAGATTAGATTCTGGGACTGATCCAGGTATGAGGGCGGCACACCACACCTGTAATCCTAGCACTCTGGATATGGAGTCAGGATGATTAAAGGGCAGCCTGGGTCACACAGCGAGGCTCTGTCACAAACAAAATGAGCAGGCTCCAGTTAAGGTTCCAGACCCAGCGCAGGCTCCAAACTGGGAAAATAAGCTTTGTCAACGGAGTTATTCCACAAGACCAGGCCCAACCTCCACATCAGAAAGACAAAGTGAGCTTTCTGGAGTGGGTTGGGTATTGGCACTTCTCAGTAAATCAACAGCTTGGGCTCTTTCTGTCCTACTTCTCTCACCAGCCAGGGCACCCTCCATCCCTTGTCCCTTGTCTCCCATAAGGCCCCAGGGTTTCAAAACAGGCCTTCCTTTAGCCTTTTATTCTATTGTCCATCAAATTTCTTGTCCATGATAGTCAGGTTGGGGGCTCCTCCTGGGCAGCCCCCCTGAACATTAAAAAAAATTTCCTACCCTACCCTGGCATGTCCAGCACTACTCCACACAACTCACCCCCCCACTCCCACCCCACCACCATGTACACACAATCTTGTTTGCCACTCCATCTCTCCTTAGCCCTCAGCCCAAGCCCAGGGCCTCATTTCCTTCAGGAATAAAGGCTAGGAGGCAGGGTCAGCTCTCAGGGGTTGAGGTGCCCGGGCCACTCCCGCTAGGAGTCTTCTGCAGCATGTCCAGTGCCTCCCAGAAGAAATCTCTCTGGGCTGCCATCAAGGGCATCCAGCCCACAATCTCCTTCATCTTCGCCATTCGATCCTGCAACGTGGGGCAACTGTGGATCTGGCTGAGGTATTCCTCACAGGCCTGGGCTGTTCCCCCAGGGTCTTGGGGGGCTCCAGCCCCCTGGGTAGGTTCAGGGCTTCCCCCCACCCTGCCGGCCGGCAGGTCTCGATAGACTGGGCATTGTTCGATGTCGTGGCTGGACAGCATATAGAGACACTCTCTGGTGGAGCAGAGGGAGCAGGCACACAAGGGGACCTTAGAGGAGAGAAGGGGTGGGGCTGAGGGAGGCTTAACACTGCAAGGGGCTTCCAGGAAGCCAGCTAAGCCTGATGCTATGTTGATCCCTCTCAGACAGGCCCTGAACCAGCAAGAGAGCTTCAGCTTGCTATGTTCCAGGACCATGTGAACTTGGATAAAGCCAGCAGGGTCAGCTAAGGAGAGAGCAGGGAGCAGTGTGGGGGGCAAGAAAGGAAGATTTCCTGGTACAGGGGAAATGAAACCAATGGGTCCCTTGCAGGGGTCCCAGGAATAAGCTGGGCATGGTGGCACAGGAGCGCCAGGAAAATTTAGAGTTGAAGGCAGGCCTGGGCCACACAGTGAGAATCTAAAAGGTAGTCCAGTAAGATAGCTCACCTTGCTGCCAAGCCTGGTGACCAACATCAAGGAAGGAGAAAACGACTTTGACACTGGTCCTCTGCCCTCCCCAGGCACATTGTGCCAGAGCCCTCCCAAATACAATTTAGAAAGGTTTTGAGAGAGGGGAGGGAAGTCCTGGCTATAGTCCTAAGGGTCACCTGGCTCTATTGCTCTACCCTCCCTGTGTATCCACTTGCTTGACCCTGCTCTGACCTTGATATGTAGCTTGACGAAGGAGGCACTCCCCTTGGGCCAGCCAGGAAGGCGGCCTCCAGCCCCACAGCCGCACCCCAGCAGCTCCTTGTTGAAATCCGAGGTCTGACTCAGCACCAAGGAATGGTTGAGGCCACACCACAGGGCAATGGGACGCTGTAGATAACGAACCTGAGGACAGACAGACAACACGGCCAGGCGCTTTAAGGTGGGAATACTAAAGGACTGTCGGGGGAGGGGAGTGTCCAGTATAGAGAAGGTTGACTGGAAGGCTTGCGGCAAAGTGTAGTCTTGGGAGTTGGAAGAAAACAGGGTCCTGTTCCAGGTTTTCTGCCCTGCTCTGCAAGCTGGCAGCGATCTGTCCCTTCCTGTGGCCACAAAGCCCACAAAGACTGAATATATGATTTCTGGTACTTGGTAAAAACTGTTTGTCTCCTCAGGAAATATGCTCTTCCTTAAAGACAAGATCTGATGCCCTCTTCTGGCTTCCCTGGGTACCTGCACACATGTTTGTATGGACACACATGTGTATTCTTGCAGGAGCAATACATACACAGTAAAATAAGTAAATAAATAAATCTTTAATTAAAAAAAAAACAGCAAGTAACAATTGAGAAGTCAGCCAGGCATGGGGAAACAGGAGGATTAAGTGAGTTCCAGTCCAAGCCAGGCTACATACCGAGAGTTTGTCTCAAAAAAGTTTTTGGGCTGGAGAGATGGCTCAGAGATTAAGAGCACTGACTGCTCTTCCAGAGGGCTGGGGTTCAAATCCCAGCACCCACATGACAGAGAGCTCACAACGTCTGTAACTCCATTTCCAGGGGATCTACACCTTCACACAGACAGACATGCAGGCAAAACACCATTGAACATAAAAATAAATCAATCATTAAAAATGTTTTTGTTTGTTTAGTTTTTTTATTACATTTGTTTGTGTGTGATGCAGGTGTGCACAGCACACTTGTGAAGGGCAGAGGACAGCTTGTGCACACCAGTTCTCTCCTTCCAGCACGCTGGTACTGTGAACCTTTTCCAGCTCTGTTTATTGTGGGATAGGGTCATGTGCTGGTGTGGATGAGAGTGGGCTCATATATTTCAGTGCTTAGTCACCAGGAAGTTTGTTGCTGAGGGTGGGCTTTGAGCTTTCAAAAGTCCATGCCAGGCCTATTGTCTCCCCTCTTCCCTCTCTTCCCTCTCTCTTTCTGTCTCTCCTATATCTGCCTGCTGGCTGTGGATCAGGAGGAAAGTTCTCAGCTACTGCTCCAGCACCATGCCCATCTGCCTACCATCATGATGGTCATGGACTGATCCTCCAAAATTAAAGGCTTTCCTTTATAAGAGTTGCCTTGGAGCCAGGTGGTAGTGTTGTATTTTAATCCCAGCACTTGGGAGGCAGAGGCAGTTGGATCTCTGTGAGTTTGAGGCCAGCCTGGTCTACATGGAAAGTTCCAGGACAGGCTCCAAAAGCTACAGAGAAACCCTGTCTCAAAAAAAACAAAACAAAACAAAACAAAACAAAACCAAAAAGGTAGAAGAAAAGAAAAAAAGAGTTGCCTTGGCTTGGTGGTGGTGCACACCTTTAATCCCAGCATTTGAGAGACAGTGGTAGGTAGGTCTCTGAGTTCAAAGTCAGTCTTGTCTATAGAGCAAGTTCCAAGACAGCTGTGGCTACATAGAGAAACCCTGTCCTGAATAAATAATAAATAAATAAATAAATAAATAAATAAAGTTGCCTTAGTCATGGTGTCTCTTCACAGCAATAGAACAGTAACTAAGACAGGACACATGTAGCCCAGGCTGGCCTAGAACTCACTCTGTAGCTGAGGATGACCTTCAACTCCTGATCTTCCTTTCTCCACACATCAATCTCTGGGATTAGAGGCATATACCACCATGTCTGGTTTTTGTAGTGCCGGGGATGAAACTCAGGGTCTCATGCATGCCAGGCAAGCATTCTACCAACTAAACCCTATCCCTGACTCAAGGACATCTCTTCACTCCTCTGTGAAAATGATGGCTAAATACTGCCTACATCTGCCACTCTGTCTCGGGTTTGTTTGTTTCCTTGGTGTGTGTGGGGGGGTAGGGGGTTCAAGACAGGGTTTCTCTGTGTAGTCCTGGCTTTCCTGGAACTTTCTCTCATCTGCATCTTCCTCTTCTACTTTTTTTTTTCTACTAGGGATTCCATTTAGAATCTTGTATGTGCTAAGCAAGTGCTCTTCCACTGGGATATATCTAGTCCATCTGGCCAATCTTTTAAAAAAATAATTTAACTTTATTTTATGTGTATTGGTGTGAAGGTTTCAGATCCCCAGGAACTGGAGTTACAGAGTTCTGAGCTACCGGGTCCTCTGGAAGAGCTGCCCATGATCTCCAGCCCCCCTGGCCAGTCTTTTTACTGTCTTATGTGTAAGCTTCATCACTGCCCTTGTCCTTATTACACCGAATGCCTTTCTCTATTCTCACCTGAATCCCCTCAAACCCACAGGCCCTGCTACCATCTTACCTTTTAAAAAAATGTATGCATTTAGGGAATGTGCATTCATGCATGTGGCTATTGAGGCCAGAGATCAATGCTAAGTATCTTCCTCATTTGAGACAGGGTTTCTCTGTGTAGCCTTGACTGTCCTGGAACTCACTCTGTAGACCAGGCTAGCCTCAAACTCACAGAGATCCACCTGCCTCTGCCTCCTGAGTGCCGGGATTAAAGGCATGCACCACCACCACCACCACCACCCAGCCTACCTTATTTATTTATTTATTTATTTTTGAGGCAGGGTCTCCCAACTGCACGTGGAGCTCACCAGTTGACTAGCCTGGCTGATGAGCGAGTCTCTAAGATCCTTTGGGCTCCCCTTCCCCGCTTCCTGTGCTGGCACCGTAGGCACTCACAGCTATGACCAGCTTTTTACATGGGTACTGGCGATCTGAGTTCAGGTCCTTATGTTCACATGACAAGCATTTTGCTCTCTGAGCCCTCTTCTCAGGCTGCATCTCACCTTTTCTAGTACTTCAGCACACCCAGGTTCCCAGCCTACTCCATCACTGAATTCCTTCTGCACACACAGTGTGCACTGCACAGAACAGACCTTCTGGGGCCAGCCCTGGGTAAGACCAGCAGCTGCAGCACGAGTGTTAATATGATGGCTTAGCCTAGCCTAGGGGAGGGAAAGTGGTTTCTAGGAAACATGGAAAAGTAGCTAGGTACGGGGTTAGGAGATTGGATGAGTGTTGCCAGGAAACAGTCTCACCTGTGTGGGTTCCCCTCGGTCCATTTTGTCTCCGGTTCCCAACTGCCCATATCTGTTATTTCCCTGCATAAAGATCCGGCCAAATTCATCCACAAGGCCAAGGTGATTATAGCCAAGAGCACAAAATAGGACCTAGGGAGATTAAGACAGCAAGAGCATGTGAACACTCTGTTCCCAGGAAACTCAGCTCCAAAACTGTTCTCATCTGACCTCCTCTCCCCGAGTCGCTCTGTCCACCCAGATCCATCCCTCCAGCCCCTCCAGCCCAGTCCTCTGCTCCGCACCTTGCCAACTGCCCACCGCCCTCCACACCGGCGTCCTACCTTGGCAGGCAGGGCGAGAGCAAGTGGCATCTGGTGGTCCAGAGGGTCAAAGGCTTGAAGAGTCCCAAAGAGATCACGATACACCCCTGGGGTGTGCACCTCAAAATACACTCCCCCCTGGTCTGGGGGGTCAGGAGCCCTCAGCTCGGCAGCTTTGGGCACCCATTTCCTAGGGACAATGCCCCACCTGTGATGGTAAAAGCTTTCAGAGATTGTAGGGAGTCTCATAGATCAACACTCTTGGCTCCAACAGCTGGGAACCTAGCCATATTCACCAGCATGCCTAAGGAGTGTCAGTGTGTGGAAGGATCTGCCCAAGGTTGGATCTGCCCAAAATGTTTAAATTTTTCAATGTGTGTGTGTGTGAGAGAGAGAGGCGGGGGGGGTGATATGTATGTATGGCATTGACATGTATGTGCCACAGCATACATATCAAAGTCAGAGGACAACCTCAGGTGTTGGTGTGTGCCTTCCACCTTGTTTGAGGCAGGGTCTCTTGCTGTTCTGATGGCAGACTGGCTGGCCCACAGGGAACCCCTTCTCTGCCTTTGGGATTGCACACGTGTGGCTGGCCCAGTGCTATGTGGGTCCTGGAGACTTAAACTTATTATCCCCAGCCTTACACAACTAGTACTTTTACCCCAATCCTGGGAGGTGCTTCTTACCCGTGATATAGAGGGTGCTGCTCTGGTTAGAAGCCATGCAGGTCACACGAAGGTGAGGCAGGCATCGAGACACCTTCCTGAGGGCCAGCTGTACTGTGTAGGAGCGTGGCTGGTCCAGCTGGGTCTCATTCACTATCAAGGAGTAGATTTTTCCTTCGTCTGGTGAGATGAAGGGAAGCATGGAATTCCATGGAGAAAAGGATTAATAATACCCAGATTAACATCCCGAGGGACACTCAACAGAAACATTTACTGCCCTAGAGTATTAATAAAAAGGTAGAGGCCCAATGAGATGGCTACATGTGTAAAAGCACATATAGTGCAAGCCTGACAACCTGCTGAAACCCATAGCAGAGAGAGAAAATGACTCCCACAAGTTGTCCTCTGAACTTCTCTCTCTCTCTCTCCTCCTCCTCCTCCTCCTCTCTCCTCCCTCTCCTCTCCTCTCTCTCTCTCTCTGAGGGGATAAAGTACAGTGACACATGCTTTTCATTTCAGCACTTAGGAGGCAGAGGCAGACAGACCTCTGTGAGTTAAAGGACTGTGTGGTTGGTCTACATAGTAAGTTCCAGGTCAGCCAGGACTGAACTACATAGTGAGGCTCTGTCTCAACAACAAAAATAAAATAAGAAAGAAAGAGTGCCAAGCTGTGGTGGCGCACACCTTTAATCCCAGCACTTGGGAGGCAGAGGCAGGTGGATGTCTGAGTTTGAGGCCAACCTGGTCTACAGAGAGTTTTCTAGGATACCCAGGGCTACACAGAGAAACCCTGTCTCAAAAAAATTTTTTTTAAAAAAGAAAGGAAAAGGGAGAGAGAGAGAGAGAGAGAGAGAGAGAGAGAGAGAGAGAGAGAGAGAATGACTTCCAGCCCCCAGCCCTCAACCCTCAAAACAAAACAGAGGTACTTCAGCATGAAAGACCAGTGGAGAGCAAACCTAGTGATTAGATGTTGCAGACTCTTAATTTGAGTGTTGGGAAGAATGAAGCCTGGGCATTTGGGTTCCCGCCTGGCATTCGGAAGTCCACAGGGTCTCTGTCTTAAGGAGGGTGCAGTCAATTATAGAGGACAATGGAGAAGTGAGGAGGGGCAATTTGGGGTATAAAGTGAAGTGCCTGGCATGCAGATTAGGAGGGGATTAGATTTTAGAAATCGGATATTCACTGGAGCCGTGATTTCCAAACAGCTTAAGAAATTGTTGCAATAGTGTGGGCTCCCATGCCACAGTACATGTGCAGGAGGCAGACGAGATCCTGGTGTTGGTCCTCACCAACTACCTTGTTTGAGTTGGAGTCTCACAACCACTACACATGCCAGACTAGCTGGCCTGCGGGCTTCTGGGCGTCTTCTGTCTCCATCTTGAATCTCACCATACAAGTGCTAGGATTGCCGACTTGCACTACCATGTGTAGCCTTTATGTTGGTTCTGGGAATTCAAGCTCACATCCCTATGCTTGTTGCAGCAAGTCTTTTACCCTCTGTACCATCTACTCTGCACTCCGATCTTATGTAGACTAGCCACAAGTTCTCTATGTAGCTTAAGAATAACCTTGAACTCAGGATTCTCCTGCCTCCACCTGCAAACACCGGAACTATAGGCATGTATCACTATCACCACTGTATGTGGTGCCCGGACTTGAACCTGTGCGTCATGAAGATTGATCCACACCCCCGGCCTGAGAAGGACCTTTATCTGAAATTCTATGCAGAATTCTAGAACTTTTGTGGTTGAGAGCTGGAGCTTGAGAAGGTAGAACCCTCTCTGACAGACCCCTCTCTTCCTCTCCCCTGGAGCAGCTCCTGAAGAATCTGCTAGACATTTGCAAACCACTGCTTTGTGGGTCACACCTGTGAGGAGCAGTAGAGCCCGCTGTGTCTCCTGGCCAACCAGCACGATCTGCTTGAAGCTCATGGAGTGGTGGAATGTCATCTTGAAGACCCGCTGCCCACTGGACTGCAGGTAGACCTCTACACAGTCACAGGCCCGGCTGTCAGTGGTGCCCACTACTGGTGGCTGCTCCCGAGTGGCCAAAACATAGAGGTATTTACGGTAAACTGTGTCACATCTTGGGTCGGAGGCAAACTGTGGAACAGGATGAGGCTGTCTGGGATCTGGAGACTCTGAATGGGATAAGGCTAGAGCAAGTGGGTCATGGGATAGGAAATGAGGCAGAGTTGGGTCCAGGGCTAAGAAATTAGAGCTTATTTAGGATTGGTGATCTAACTCAGTGATAGAATGCTTGCCTAGCATGTATGAGGTCCTAGGTTCAATTTCCAGCACCAAAACCACAAGCTAATGACAGAGAAACGGATTGCTTTCAGGTTCCCTAAGAGAGGGCACATGTCCTGACCTCCCTCCCTAAGGGAGAGACCACTCAGGACCACTGAGGTGGGTTCTCAGTACCCAGAATTCCCTACTCACATCCTTAGCACCTCGACATAACACCACATAGCGGCAGGCCCGCTTCCACTGGATCTGGCCAAGGGTGGAGGACACCAGAGCATTTTTGAGGAAGAAGAGGGTCCCCACATAGTCAAGAATGAACACATGGTCCTTTGTGGGTAAGAAGCGCCGGTAGCCATGGGCTAGCATGGGGGCCACACTCTTGCTGAGACATCGGCGCCGTCCTCCGAATGCCTGGAAATACAGGCCCTTTGTATCTGAAGACCAGAAGGAAATGGTTTCAAGGCTGAGGCGACTTGAGTGGCAAGAGTCAGAGCTAGGATGAGCTAGGATGATTTTTCTCCAGACACCCTGGTATTTAGCTTTTTTTTTTTTTTTTCCATCCCCAGGATTAGGGATCATACTCCTTCCTGGGCAACACAGAAAACTTGGTTCATGCCTTACATCTGTCCCAGCATCCCACGGCCATACATGTGCTTCTCAGTAGCAAATCTTTATAAGAATAAATATAGAGACAAAGTAGAAAGGAGAGAGAAATGGCTAAGAAAGGCCAGGCATCTCCTGTAGCCTTTGCTGTGGCTGTTTCTCTATGTATGTGTGGCAGATATAGAGGTAGCACCTTTCTGAAGTGGTGTGTCTGCATCACCGCTCTCAAGCTGGGGTGATTATGTCCCTCAGGGACACTGGTTGTCATAACTGGGGATTGGCACTGCTACCTGTCTTACAAGAAATAGGACAGCCTCCACAACAGAGAATTATTTCATCTCTGGCTGGAGAGATGGTTCAGTGGTTAAGTTCTTGCCTTGCAAGCATGAGGAACAGAGTTGAGAAATAAATACTGGGTGAGCTTCTTGGCCTGCCTGTAATTCTCGTCTCGGAAGTGGGAACACTCAAAGCAAGCTAGCTAGTGAGACTACTTCTCAGTGCAACTGAGAGACTCAGCTTCCTTGAATACAGTGGAAGGGTGATTGATGGTGATTCCTGATAGCAACCTTGGTCTCTACATGCACATACTCCAATGTGCATGTGTCTACACACATGCAAACACGCATACATACACATACACCGTGCACATAAACATGAACAAAAAGAGAATTACTTCATCTCAGCTGTTACAAGGCCACAAAAAGGTGGGGACATGGCTAAATGTGTAAAGTATTTGTTGTGTAGGATGAGGAACCGACTTCAGAGCCCTGGCACCCATGGAAAAGCTGGAAGGGAATGTTTTTAACGATAGCATGCACTCATTTCGGGGAAGGGAGAGACAGAAGGATCTCCAAGGCATGCTGGCCATCCTGTCTAGTCATGGCAAGCTCAAGGTTCAGTGAGAGCCTGATTAAAAACATAAGCCAGGGCTGGAGATGGCTCGGTGGTGAAGAGCACTGGCTGCTCTTTCAGAGGACCTGGGTTTGGTTCCCAGTATCCATGTGGCAGTCCAGGTCCAGATGATCTGATGCCCCCTTCTGGCCTATACTGGCACTGCATGCATGTTGAGCACAGACATACATGTAGGCAAAACACCACCCATACACATAAAATAAAAATAAATATTAAAAAAATAAGGTGGAAAGGGACAGAGGAAGCCAACCAATGTCAACCTCTGGCCTTCACATGTGACTGCACTAGCTGGTGCTACACACACACACACACACACACACACACACACACTCTCTCTCTCTCTCTCTCTCTCTCTC